ATTACCTTTAAAAATTAAATTCAAATGTGAAAGAGTAGAATAAAATGTATTTAAAAGTTCACCTAATACCTTTAAAAAATCAGTTATCCTTACTTAAAATTGGTATCTAACAGCTCATGTAAAAATTAAAAATTCCAGCCATCCTTATTAATGTTTTTATTCCATCTACCCAGTTTTTCCTCTTCCTTCCATATTTCTTCCGCTTGTTTTACCCATTGTGTCTCTGCTTCTTTTCCCCCTTGCTGACCTACCATAAATACCTCCATATATTTACTATTTCCCTTCTTAAACACCGTCTTATCTGCTTTTCCTCTTTCTTTTGAACTATTTTAGGCCCATTTGCCTGGGCTCCATCTTCTCAGGTTAGAGACTACACTGCATGGGATGGTTTTCAGACTCATGCTCCACCCCTGGCCATGTGGCATTGCAAGGGCTGCTGGTGTAGGGTGCCCTGGTCATGCTGCTGTCAGCACACAAGGCTGGCTATTGGTTCAGGAGGACCACCTGTACATGCTGGTTTCCTTCAGCACACAGGTAGGGAAGGAACCCTTCTACTTGACCTGAACAAGCTGTGAGAGATGATGTTGTGGGTTACTCTGATCCTACAGATACAAGAGTTGAGTCTCAGGATCCAATTGTGAGATTTACTTATTCTTCCAGTATGTGCCCTGTCCTAGCTCTGGTTTAGTTTTATCTTCTCAAACTTGTTCTGCACCTCATGGATTGTCTCACAAAAAGGCACAGCTTTAAGCTACAAGCCCTCTGTTACTGTGTGTTTCTGCAGGGACACAGGCAGCATCTTTTCTGGGACCCTTGGAGAGAGACTTATCCCTCCCAAAGTCTGGCGTGTATCTTGTACATGGGAATTTCAGCAATTTGCTAATGGACATGATAGGAAAGGGGGAAAGTCTGTGGTCATGCCTGTCATCCCAGCTTCAGGACCACAAACAACACAGACATTTAAGCTACCATCTCTGCTTTGCAGGGATACAGAGACACCAGAGCTGGCACTTGCCTACCAAGCTGAATCCTTGTAGAGCCTTGCTAGTTTTCAAAAAGTTGCCTGGAACTGGACAGAGGAGGTAAAACTCCTCTTCAGGTTGACCAGAATTAAGTATCCTGTTTCTTATATCCAGCCCTCCCAGTAAAAACCCTTGCACACTTGTGAATGCAAGCACAATGCTACTCACCACACTACTTTGTAGGCAACAGCCTCAAGTGGCAGTTTTCGCGAATATATGCATATGCTCAAGTACACCAAGCCCTCATGATCAGACTCAGTGAAAGCCCTGATAGTTTGTCTATTTCTGGTATGTCCAAGTGACCTATCACCATGGCAGCTAAGTAGAGAGGAGAAAATGATGAAGACCAGAGCAGATCAGACAGCAGTACTTGTTAGACATAACCACAAGGCTGTACGTCACATCCTCCCCTGCCTGCTGCCGTGAGCCATTTATGATTGCTACCCAAAAGCTGTACAGGATGAAAAAGTTTCATTGACATACCCAAACTACACTCTTCAGGGTCTTACACTAGCAACAATGGGAAACAAGAACATAAAAGCAAGTCAGAAACTGGCAAAAAGATATTTAAACTAAAATAGAAAACAAAATGTCATTGAAATTAACATTGTAAAATACACCGCAGTGAACCAATCTAAGAGGAATGCACTTAGCTCCAGAGTGCCTCAAGTGACTTCAAAGGTGAGAAAATAATACATTTACAAGTGTATACAGAAGCAGCTCAAGGTTTGTCATCAGCACCGAATACTGAAGAGTGGGAAACCCGCAGGATGGGTGGCAGTAGAGTTCAGCCTGGGCTGGGCAGGTGTAGGTCACCACTGGGTTTTGCGACCTAGGGCTGCGGCTCTCAGCCTTCTCTTTCCCTCCCGAGTCTTACTAAGCCCCATAAGTCCACGGCGGCTCCCCGCAGCCAGCGTGCTGCCTGCCCTCACGCTGCGGGATGCCTGCTGCACCGTGAAGCAGGCAGCACTGAGGTGGGGGGCTTCCTGGGGAGTGCTGGTGCTGCTGCTGCAGTCTGATGCCTTAAGCAGGGTGCATCAGTTTTAGCGTTTTGATTCAAGTTTACAAACCTCCCCAGTACACACTCTTAGTGTGTATTATTTCACACTATTTGGCAGTCTCAGGATAAGACAGCTGGGCCTCTTTTAGACAAAGTTTAACTGGGGGATGCATTCCAGAGGTTCACCCAGTATGATCCAGCTGCTACAGGAGCTCAGACTGCCAGAGCTAGTCCAAGACAAGAACCCTCACAGCACACACAGTGGGACACTGGCTCCTTGGCACTACTTGTTTTCTACATATACACTCCTATTGCACTGCACGTTTGCCCAAGTCACAAGTTTGGGGTCACCAGTATGCATATCTTGAGCAAAACAGTCATAGAATCACAGAATGCTTTAGGTTGAAAGGGCTTTAAGCTCATCCAGTTCCATCCACCCTGCCATGGCCAGGGACATTTTCCACTAGACCAGGGTGCTCAAGGCCCTGTCCAACTTGGCCTTGAACTTTCAAGGGTGGAGTGTTCACCACTTCCTTGGCAGCCTGTTCCAGTGCCTCACCACCCTCACCGCAAAGAATTTCTTCTGAGGCAGTTAGAGGAGAACCCACTCGCTTCTCATGTACAACAGTGCCATTACTATGAGAATTTTGTCCACAATCAAAACCAAAGGTCAGAAGGCAGGTGCATCTCAGGAGGGAAATACCCCAAGAGCTTTAAGCCCTCTCCAGCTTATTGACTTGAAGTTGCACTTCTTCCTCCTCTTATATGCATTGACATTCACATCAACAGAAGATTAAACATGTTACTGTTATTTAATATATTCTTTGGCCATTTCCTTCTGGGAACATGTGATCTGACATCCAGACGCTTTGGCAAAGTACAGAACTACTTACAGTAGTGACCCATTTCTGTAAGAATCAGCACCAGTGACCAAAGAGGTCAACAGTAGCATTTGTGAACAAAGAAGTCAGAAAATGTTCTGATCTACGTTCTTGGATATCTTCTGGAAACAATCAAAGTCTAAAATTAAAATGAGGTTTCTCTTTGTGCAGGACTTTTCCACCATGCAGCAGCTAAAGAGACTGATCTCTGTTGATTACGCATTCAAATAACATGTACATGGAGCCTGAAAGTGCCAAAGGTCCTGAGCAGTTCCTACAGCCTGTGGTACTCCAGTTTCCTAAGCAGATCCGTCACACTGGACCTCTCTGCCCCAAGTAGCTACGAGTCTTCAGGCATGAACAGGAGATATCCTAACCCTGATCAACCCCTGTTTCTGCCTCTCTTACTAGGAAAAGGGATTAACTGGTGGGATAATCAGACATTGTTTACTCTTCTGTAGCCCATGTAGAGAAAGATTAAGGCCAGCCCCTCATGGCAGGGGGGTTGGAACTGAATGATCTTTAAGGTCCCTTCCAATCCAAACCACCCTATGATTCTGTGAAGGTTTTAGTGAGTGCGAACCTCGAGTTAGTAAGCCCATACTGAATTACTAGATGTCCTTTTTTTTCCTCTTTTTTTAAGCCACTGAACTCCCTGTTGCTCCCAGGGGCTAGACTGTTGCTCTGTGAATGCATGCCCTCTGATAATCCGACCTTTATGTCTTGAGCCAGGATTAAAAGTGTTACTGGAATAAGAAAATTATCCTAAGAAAGAAAGAAAAGTTTGGAAAGAGTTAAGAATAGACAACAGCAGTCCTGTAATACCAACTGACTCAAAACTCCAAGCAAATCAAGAGAGCAAGGAGAAGGAACAGTGAAATATTAAATGCAGTTGCTTCTTCTATTTGCAGTTTAATAATTCAAGACCTATATTTATTTATTCATACTAATTGACCGATGAAGTTATGCTGTGGAATAGCTGAAGAGAAACTAATTGCTGTCTCATTTTATTTTAATAGTATATTAAAACGCAGGCTAGACTGGAGAGCTCTTCTCGACTTGTGCTGATGTTATCTGCCCTGAGACACTGGCAACTATCCAGGGACTTGCCTACACTGATATTTAGGACTAACCTTAGGAGTCAGATTAGGTGATTGTGTCTTTGGCTGTAAATGGACCACAAATGTAAAGCTCATTTCTTTTTGAGATCAGTCTTTCCTCCTTTCCCTTTATTTTTCTCACTCAGGTTCTGTTATCATTTGCTCAGTCTGAGCAAAGGGGCCTTAAGTGGATGTAAATGAATTTTGCAAAACCCACACAGGATCTTTAATACCATTGGAGTAATTGGGGTTTAACTGCAGTGAATCTTGAAGCACACTGTCTAAATACAGGCATTCCCAATCATTTCTACATTCTCATAATTAACAATCCCACAAGTGAAATGAGACTCAAAAAATGCTCATCAGTTCCTCATCCTCCAGTGTTTCCCTACAGTTTCCATGCTGTCCTGATAACTAAATTGACGGAACTCTTCTCCGTGAGGAGAGCCTTTTTTCATCTCTCTCCCAACCCTTGGATCTGAGACCCCAAATGCACCATCCCTCTCTCTTACTGCAGCCCAATTCCCACATGCATCCAGCCCCTTTCATTAGCAGAAAGGTTGCTAGTATGGCTAATGGTGGAGGCTGCATGCACAGCAGCTCTTCTGCTTGCCTGCCCTCACGGGGTGGGGAGCAGCCCTCCCCATGGGCATCTCCCCTGCTGATGCAGCATGAGGGTGAGAAGGGCAGTGGGCAAAAGGGCAGCGGCATGGGCACTGCACCATGGACCTCAGGAGAGGAGAAACAACGGAACCCCCAAATTTATCAGTGTTTCAGTATCTCATCTCACGTACATTTGTAGCTGCAGTATTATGCATACACCATCCAAAGCACTAGAGAAGATTCACCCCCCCTTACCAGAACAGCACAGGGCACCGTCAGCAGCATGTGGTAGGATATGAGAGTCCTCAGCTATTCAGATCCCAGCATATAGGCTGGTTCATCCTATATATCTAGAAAACAAGCCACTGAACTGGAGCCCTGTCAATTTACATACCCTTTGCGCAGATACAAATAAGCTCAGAAGGTGAAAGGCAACAGAAAAGCAGGTCCTTTGAATGCGTATCCTTTCATCTTCGAGTTTGCTAAGGATAGATGTAAAGGCTGCTTAGGATCCAAGTTGTGCATATTCCTCCTTTGAAGCTCTACCTTTCACCCAGCCCAAACTTTGCCATTTAGCACTCTCATTACCTTGTAAGGTCTGCTCCTCCCTTCAGCATTTAGTCCCTCTGCGGAACGCCAAGCAGTTTCCCTCCCTCCCCAGGAATCTTAATTAACTTTTTTTTCGGTGTGTTTGTTTCTCCCCTCCCCTTCAGACATACCGATGCCTTCAGTTAGATTTGTTTCAATGCTTTCAGTTATCTTTGATCACATTTTAATTTCATACAGACCACCAGCTGGCTTTCATACAAAACACAGTGCATATCAGAATTCGAGCATTCCTATCATCTGTGCACTGTGACATGCAAAGCTACACCTGTGCTGTTATTTTTGACAGAGATAGCACTGGCTGTTTTGCACTATGTTGATTCTATACTCAGAAAAATCTAGGAATGGCTTTAGTCCCTCTATGTATATTTGAATGATGCCAGATCTTCCTATCACGTTTCCAAGTCTAATACCTCACTGGCTGGACCAAAAAGGCTTCCCCAGTTCTTCATCATTGTTTGGTTTCCTTGAAGCCAACTGATTCACATTATTCAGAAAAAATCACTTCACTGGTTCTGCCTCTTATAATTTAAGGACATGGAGACCTCTTCCTCTTTGAGGTTCAGACAGGACTTGGGGGAGGATGGAGGTACATGGGATAAGCATGGTCCATGGTTCTGAATTTGAGATTGCTTGCTCAACAACAGCAGAGAGCAGAAAAAAAAAGTGTAGAACAGTCTGTCCTCCTTCATATAAACTTGCTTTCACACATATCACTCTCATTTTTACTCATGTCTTCTTGCTTTTCTCCTTTGATCTCAGGGAACCTTGGCAAACTTCCCCAGGACGTTCTCTGACTGGAGAGGAGAGTTGCTACCTTCAGGGCCCTATAATATCACCCCTCCGATACCAGCTATGGGGTGAAGAGTCTGGAAACTCATCCAGGAGACAATAATCTAAAATCCCTTCTAGCTGCACCTTCTGTTGGCAGTCTTAGCAACAACTCTCCCCCAGGACCCCAAATGGCTATTGAGTGCGGCTGGGGTGGTGAGCTGTGGACCAACTCTGTGCCCTCCCCCTGGGCTGTGCCCAGTTGTCCCATGCTGCAGCTGACAAACAAGGTCTCGACTCCCAAGTCCCCATGAAATCAATAAGTGAAAAGAGGTTATTAGTGGTACATTCACTCAGAGAAAGCGGATTACAAATTACCCTCATTCAGCACTTGGGAACAAGATTATTTGTGACATAACAGATTGCCACCATCATAATCCAGAGCCTGTAAACGCTTGTTGGCTTTTCATTGGGAAATGCAAATCTGTGCCAGTGTAGCTGTTTTTAGGTAGAGGTGATCACGAATTATCACAAGCTAACATCTGAATTCTTTTCTGTGCCACTAATACTGTTTCCTGAACGCTTTCCCTGCTAACCTTAATCTGAATGTCGCCTGCATCTTCAATGGCCTTAGGACTGGGACTTTGGGGAATTCTTTTATACAGCAAAATTAAGCACTATAATAGTAAGTGGAATTTTGTGGGGAAAAATTAATTCTAAACTAATATCAAATAGCAGACCTGATTAATCTGGTCTTTGTTCCAAGAACCTGTTAACTGTATTGTTAAATGATTAAAAAAAGTGTTAGAAATCAACATTTTATGATATCAGGCATCTTCAAACAGTTCTTCCAGCACTTCATTCCCAAATCAGGAAATTTCAAGGGCCAGCTGTTTCCAGGGTGGCATCTCAGGGTTGTGATACTTTGCAAAATTGCTCATCAAGAGCAAATCTCTACAGAGCACCTAATATTCCAAGTCACCATGTAAAACTGAATGTGAAGCCAGAAGTCCATGAAGGTGCAGTCTGGATGCACTGAAACCAGTGACACCAGGATCTAAGAAATAGTTTCACCACAAAGCTTTTGGACTGGCAGCTGTGCAAACATAGACCTTTTCCCCTAAAGAAGACTGGCGAAAGCCAAGGCAACGAAGTATTCTGCAAGGCAGTGTGACAAAATCATGAAGGGGATAATCATATTTGTTCAGTAAAACAGGTATTATTAGTCTATGAAAATGATGAGGTATGAGTCCAAAACTGCTTAACCAAGGCTTTGGTACTCATTATGAAAATATCCCAGCAACAACGCCACTGAAGGCATTTTCTAGCAGTCACTCTATGCTGTCACCTGTGCACTGCCCAACTCGTTATTTAGGCTTTGTGGAAAATTTTCTGTGACACCCAGAGGATGTAGGAACATGAGAATTATGTTTTAAGTCATGATTTAATCACAGTGAAACACTCACATGGCATATGCATTTGCAGAAGTAATGGGCCATGAGAAAATGTCTCCTGTAAAAGTCCTTAAGAGGCTGGATAAATTCTTTCAGTGTCAGAGGTTCTGACAGAGTTATCTTCAAAAGTGTGAGCAGAGCTATCGGCAGGAGGGTCATGGATTGGAAACTCTAAGACAAGAGTAAAGGTCATGTTCTGCTGTAACAAGTGCTAGATAGGAAGACAATGCAATACTCTTACCCTCTTAACAGAAATTTCTAATTTACTTGCTTGATATCAAATTTAATATGTTTGTAAACCTGATAAAGCTAAAGTAACCAGTTCTAGAGAACATAAAAATACTTTAATTGCTTGCAAAATTTTTGGATGATGCACATATACATAATTATATCCATGAATACTTTGGATCTCGTAGCACCACTGGCTCAACAATCATTTAAAACTGATAAATGCATATTTCTTATTTTTCAGAGCATGCAATGTAACAGGTCCTACCTGGGAGCATCTCAGCAAGGAATACATGCTTTAGCCACCTGAAGGTTTTCCTAGCCCTGAGCTCCTTCCTTCTTGGCCTCATCCCTGGTGTAGCAGATGCCAGGACCCTCACGGGGCCATGACACACACCACCCCCTCTGTGGTGCTGGCTGGGCCACCATATCTGTGCAGCTGAACCAGGGCAGGACCTTTCTGCTGCTGCTGCCCAAGGATTCCCCTCTGGTGGGAGGTTTTTCCCAGGACCAGGCTGGCTGGCAACAGCAAGAAACAGTCCCAAAGTGCTGTGAAACCAAGGCCGTAATATGTTAATGTGAAGACTTTTTCCAAGTAATCTTTACCATCTGTTGTCTCACACTGATGTTAGTATTAATAATTTATAGGCCTTCTCTTAAGGCTGAGGAGCAAGCAGAATGCTAATCTCTCACACAGAGACAGTATCAACTTTTTTTTTTAATGAGATAGATGTTGCTCTATATGATAGCCTCGCACAGGGAATATATGGTGCTGTTCAGCCTTCCATTGATGTTGCTTTTGTAAGTCTTTTACTGAAAATAGCAGTGGCAAGACATTTATTTTAGTCTGGTTCCTCTGTTGCTTCTTTCCTTCTAAAATAAGGCATGCAGTCTATCTGGTACCTAAGCAAAGTGCGTGTAAAGGTCAGAGGCAAAGCATAAGCTAACAATATAAGTTGTATTATAGCATGCAGTTACTGCGAGACAAGAACAGACAGGTTCCTTCTGCTATCCGGGAGACTGTTAGGCTGAAGGAGCATAGTTGTGCTACCAGTTTAAGCCAGCAGAATCTCCTTGCTATATTTAACCTTGATTTCCTCAGAGAGCAACTATGCAAATCACAAAATGTGATACACGGCAAACACTGCTTTCATAAGGGAGAGCTAAGTTATAGTCCCAAACAATCAAATCAGCCTTTCCGACTCATAGGGCTTCAGTTTAATCCCGTATTAACAGGATTAATAGCAGACTTACAGTTCATACCGTCTTACTCCCCTTTTGCACAAACCAATCTAGCCGCTTTCACAGAGGGACAGGTGGATTAATAGTCTTAGTCAAAAACTATGGTGATAATGCAGAAAATCAGCCAAAGGGAGGGATTCCAGGGTGCAAATGGACAGCTGGAAGATTGCTATCAAAGACATGCAGGGACTTCACCCTCAGATAGAAATGTGAAATGCGTGGGAGACCCTTCTGCTTCTAAATTGAAAACCAAAACAAACCCCCTGAAAGATAAACAAGTACAGTAAAGGAATAAGTCTCTCTATTAATAAATGCTTACCAGAGGATAAACAAGTAAAGGAATAAAGAACCTGAGAAGCTCAGAAATGTAGAGGCATTTGACGAAACACAACTCCAGTAAGAAATGCAAAGCTCCAGCGGACTGTTATACAACCTTTGATTTCTTTTAATAACAGTTGAAGGTCAGATGCCACAGCTCTTCCTGGAAATCCTAAAAAGACTGGGTGGCTCCCCAAGTTAGAAAGGAACTGCCACATCGTATGTTGTGCAACGTACAGCTATTGACTAAGGTATATTATATTACCTCCAACAGCTGACTCAGACCCAGTTGTTATAAAAGGCTTCTCGCACTCCGGCAAGCAGCACGTAGGAGCCCAGCGGGCTGGGGGAGGTCGGGGGGGGGTCAAGGCGATTACTCCCCCCTCCTTCAGCCCCCCAGCACAGGGCTCAGCTGGGTTATGGGAGTTCACACCGAGCTATTGACATTCAGCTGCATTGCTTACTCATTACCGGATCAGCAGGGAACTGTCTGGGTCTGAAAAGTTAACCCTTCCCATGCCCTGATTTTTTATATATATAAATTCTATTATTATTATTAGTAGTAATAATAATAATAAATAATTTATTTTCTTTTTAAGACTACAAGCCCCTGGGAGACAGGCCTGCAGTAGGGCTGGGTGGGCTGACCTGACCTGTTGGCACCCCACTAGGCTGGGGGCAACATGCTTACATGGGTGCAGAAACCACCTAGGAGGAGAGCAAGAGGCAGGTACCACTGCTGACGCAGCTTCGCTCCCCAGACAAGGGGTGGTAGAAGTAGAAGGAAGGAAAGTGCTGTGCCCCAGGTGAGAATTTGCTCTAAAAAAAGGCAGGAGAAGTGACATCCCCAGTTATTCCTTCATTTCTCACTCCTGTGTTAAGGTGAGCAGGTCTATGGGATACAGCTTGTAAAGCAAAGTGAACTTTTCACTGTGATTCAACACAGGTATCACTCAATTAAGATGCCTGTGCCCACCCTATCTTTCACTCTCAGTTTTGCAAGTGATTGTGGAATCATTGCAAATCTTGCAATGGCATTTTTTGTTCTAATGATTCACTCCTTGATTATGTGAAAACCTCAGTCTGTTTTTAGGATAAGTTCCAATGCCTGTGGCTTCACCTTTTAGGGCCAATGATCCAGACAAAATATAAAAAGATGCCAAAGTGCCTCATGGTCCTGTTAAGGCATTACTATGGTTTCCTGGTAATGGTGTACTAATTTATGGCTTCTGAAGTTAGAAGTCATCTAATATATCATCATAGCCCACTAAGATATATTAATTTTATTTTTTGTTTTTTTAAGAACAAAATAAAAATCTTTCCACAGTATAGCAAAAAAATGCTATTTTCCCCGTTCCCATTGAGTCAAAAGCTTCTCTGTAAAGAGAAGCTATATAATTCTATCACAGAGAAGAACAGATGGTGAATAGCAGGTATGTGAAGTGTTCATACTACTCTATTTCACCTCTCACTATAATTATATTGCATGCCAGGTTCCAAATGGAGCATTGAATTCAGACACCAGAATTTGGTGGAGATGAATTTTTCAAAGCTTTAAATGTTAGTTCAATTTTGTAACAATTTGAGTGTAATTTATACATGTCTCAGAACATGCCAGGTACTTAGAGATGCATCAGAAGAGGCAACGGTCTTATCACAGTTTATAATCACAAATGATATTTTCAAATAAGCAGTGAAATATAAGTAAACAAGCAGTGAAGTCTGCTTGCATCTAGCTAATGCCTCCATTAATCTTTATTAGTAATTTCTAGTACTGAGAGCAGGGAAGCTAGGATTTATAGCTCTTTTCAAAGAAGAGCCAATGAAAATTAGATGGATTGGGCCAGTGGATCAGTTCCAGGAACAGGGAAAGAAAAGACAGAGTGGGATCTTTGAAAGTGGTGAATGAAGTGTTTCTGCAGATGAAGGAGATACAGAAAGACCCTAAAGTGTGCATGTCCATGAAGGCAAGAAGGGAAGAACTGAAATTTAATAGGAAGGTCAGCAAAAGAACTTGCAGACGGATGGGGTTTGATCCAAGTGAAAGGTAAGAAAGAAATGGACTTAAGTAAAACATCAGGAGCCAGAGGAGAACATATCTCTTATCTGTGATATAACTTAAGAAGTGCTGGCATGTTTGTTGGTTGGAGATCATGGAGAAAATACTATTGTATGAATTTTAAGAATGAGTCACGGTGGAAAAAGTTGGATCAGAAAATGTAAGTCAAAAATAGCAGATACATTTTATTTTCAAGCTTAAGAAGCATCAAGGAAGAGAAGGAACTTAAGAAAGTGCATGAGTTTTGCAGTTTGTTGCCATGTGGTCTGCTTTCTGCAGAGGGATATTGAGGAAGTTCAGCTGGCGACAGAAAGGCAAGCTGTTAGCAAAGCAGAGTGGAAATGAAGAAGTTAAATTGCTGAGTTTGTAAAGGGTAGTTGAAGATGTGGAAGTGTGTCATGGCATGGAAACAGACGAAAACAAGAAGCGTATGGTGTTTATGAAAGCTGGATAACAGGTGGTTTTCAGGAAGCGAGGGTGTGCAGTCTGTCTAAAACGGAAGGGAGGACAAGTTAGCTGGTGACTTTGCTGGTAATGCCATAAACTGTTTCTGTGGACAAGAGGGAACAGAAAGAAGATTTATTTTTTTTTTTTGGGGGGGGGGGGGGTGTGCAGGGAATTGGCTGAGTAGGGCCAGAAGAAATGGAATTAATTCTTTTTTTTTAATTATTTTTTACATGTTTAAGACATATGGAGGCAAAGAAAGGAAGCATATGGAGTAGCACTTGAAAATGGGGCTGGGGTCAGGAGAGATGGTAGGGGAAACAATAACATGTTTCAGAAGCAGAGAAGAGTGGTTGGGGATGTCTCATTGTTTCTTCATGCTTCTCCATCTGTCAATATCCATCTGTTGTTTTTTTGTTGTACACTCAAATGTTAACTCCAGTAACTGTTTAATGTAAAATGGATAATCATGTCTCTGTCTCCCTTTCTCACCAGTTTTTGGAAGGATGTAGAAAACCGTATCTTCCACATAGCACTGGAAGGGTGGGCAAGACCCTCTTGTTCTCTGGAGCCTAGAGCTTGGTGATTAAAGGATGCTGTTCTGGGAAGTGGGAAAGGTCAGATGTGAATCCATAAACCTGAGAAGGCCCCTGAACTTGTGAAGGGCAGACCCTGAAGCCCATCAAAGTGCTTAACTACTGCCCTGTTCTATAAAAGGCACTGATATCATCACTAAATCCTAAAGGAAAGGTGTAACAGGGTAATGTACACCAGGAAAAATATTCTCTACCTCCCTGCAGCGTGGTGCTTCGTGCCAAGGATGTCCAAGAGGTATGATGCTGAATAAGCCTGGTCTTGGTGGCTCTCTGCATCTGCTTTTTACTTGGTGCCTTGATTGCTTTGAAACAAACCCTGGGGCATCAAAGTGCTCAGGTAGACAGAGTCTTATGAACCCAGATGCAGAAACAGTATCACCTCTGGCTGTTTATCTCATGCCTTTGCTGTAGGTCACCTTTTGCATTGCAGAGGTGGTTGATGAAAGTGTGTGCTGGCTTTGCAGTCACCTGCTAGCTGAGGGGAAGGCGCACCTTTTTCCACTGCTGGAGAGGTAGAGGAGCAGAGCATGCAGAATGGTGATGTATAGCATAGCCCCAGTGTGATCCACTGGAAGCATTTGCCTCTCCCATGTGTTGCAGGAGCAAGGAAAGTACCCTGTTGCTGCTGCCTTGGTTTTTGCTCTGGGAGGAAAGCACTTGCCTACTTTCAGGGATCACTTCACCATGGTAAAGTAAAAGATGTGCCCTCCGTCACCAGCAGCTGTCAATGACCCACAGGGAATATCCACCCTACCAATCATTTTCCCTCTTGGCAAAAAGCAGTGATCATAGCCTGACTGCTTTGCTGAGTAGCAGCAGCAGAGTGGAGCTGAGTCAGCCCCTCCCAGGTCACCGGGAATCGGTCCATGCCTGCTACATCCCCAATCCACAGTGACGTATCTGTAATTATGATTTTCACTGTTATGTTCGTGATATTAGAATTTGTCTTGCTCTAGCCAAGACTCCTACTCTTCGTTCATGCACACGCCTGTCATGCTATACTATTACAGTGGAGTCGGGGCCTGATCTGTACTATAATTATAACTGAGTCAGTTACAACAGACTTGTCTCCTGACCTGGTTCCAAAATAGCACTATATTTTTTAAAGCAAAAGGGATTTTAGGTGGATTCTTCAACCATGCAAATACATTATGCTTGTCTTGTATTTAGAAAGGGTTCATTTCTGATAAAGCAAACCTTTTTTTAGCATAAGCAGGAAATGGTCCAAACTGGCTGTTCATTAGCATTCGCTAAGTCAGCTTCAAGCACCCTCTCTGAATGTCAGATATTTCCCACTTGCATTCCTTCTCCACTTCTTCTGTTTGCTACTTCCTGGCATCCTTATCATATAATAATGAATCACGCTGGAGTTGAGATGTCAGATTTAGATACAGAGTGGGACTAGTTTGGCCAGTCCTGGGTAATCAGGCCTCTTAGCAGGGAAACGCATTTAAATAGGTCAATGAATCTTACATGTCTGTGCATCAGGAATTATCAGCACTGCAGAACTTGCAGTCAGGGGAGAAATTTGCTTTCAAGCAAAAGTTCACCACTAGCACATTGAACAACATTTAATTTACATTTACATTTAAAATTATATTTTGCTTCATAGACTTTTAGGAGTCTTTGGAATAAAAGATTATTTTTATTTTTATTTGTTTTACTCTTTTTCTTCATATACAATCTAACATATTTTAAATTAATTGGACAGTCCTGTTAGAGCTAAGAAGACTCTTATCTAATCTCCTGTCTTCCAAAATGCATCTTTATTTTTGCCTCACGTCTTTTCTAGCGATGGAGGTGCTGTGGAGTGTTGCTTTACAAAGCTAATCAAATTGTGACTGTAAAGCTTTATTCTTTGCTTTATTCTTTTAGGTCACTTGTAGTCTATATGTCTGTTCAGGCACTTTCTGGAAGTCCCTAAAGAAGCCAGAAATGTCCAGCAGGTGAATCTCAGCCCTGGAGGTTAGCAGTCTGTATCCAGAGACACAGTTTGTACCTAGGAGTGAAGGAAAGGGACAACATGGGACATG